CAATACTAACCCAAATGCTGTTCAAGATTGTTGGTTGTGCTGAAACCCTGCGCTTCCCTATTATGTTGGGCTCACCGCTAGTGCTTCCATAAAAAACAACAATGCTGACATTAAAACTAAAAGTAAAAACTCGCATTGTAATTGGGACCAGATGCCTGTTTTAACCCTTAGAGACCTCCAAAAAAAAGAGACATGTATAATCTCCTCTTCCTATCATATGTCAACGTCCCAATAAAAAAAAAAAACTGTAATACTACCATAACCCTCCCCCAAAAAAGGGCAGACTCTGAGGGGGCCACCACTTACACCTTAATAGCCCCAAATGACACCTGGTTTACTTGCTTTGGGGGGCTGACTCCATGTATATCCTTCTTAGTAATGACTAAACAACTGCAAGTCTGGATCTTAACCCATGTTATCCCCCAAGTATATTATTACTCAAAAAAAGGTAAACTAGAGCATTTTAAAAGACTACACAGATGGACCAGGGCCCCAATCCTGGTGCCCCTCCTGGTTAAAATCGGACTGGCCGGATCGGCCGCCATCAGCATCACTGCCCTGGCTACCAGACCTCTAAGCCCCAGCTTCCGAGCCTGCACCACCCAGAACAATGCAGACCTAAAAGAGCTTGAGAGCTCTATCTCCCACCTAGAAACTGCTCTAAACAATTTGGCCAAAGTTGCTCTGCAAAACCTCCATGGTTTAGACTTACTTTTTCTAAAGCAAGGGGGGCTTTGTATGGCTCTGGGGAAAACATGCTGTTTTTATGATAATAGATCTAAAGTAATCAGAGATAGTCTAGCTTTGGTTAAAAAAAAAGATCAAAATAAAAACAACAAAAAAAAGAATCATATTGGTATAAAAGTCTCTTCAATTGGTCCCCTTGGTTAACAACCCTAGTATCTGTACTTACTGGCTCCTTAATCCTCCTCCTCCTAGGGCTTACTTGTGGACCCCTCATAATTAACCATATCATGGTTTTTGTGCACAATCAGGTGCAAGCAGTCAAGCTGTTGGTTTTAAGTACCCAACACCAACCTCTATGAGACACAGACCCCCTCGTAAAATCAAGGATTTGATTAGCTAACAAGACCAGTGAAAAATAAAGTAGTCAATAGCCAGGTCACTAAAACAAGCCTGATCCACAGGTAGGCCTAAGATGGCTTCTGTCTTGCTCTGAAACTAACTGCTAGTAAAAAGTCTCTAGAGAAAGTAAAGTGGGGTAAGGGGGTAGAGGGGAAGAAGGGTCTTAGAGTACTTTCCCATTGTTGCTTGCTCAAACAACAGCTAGCTGCCAAGTTCTGCTTCCGTAACCGCTTGATTGCTTAAGAGAGCAGAACCAACGACCTACCATCCTGACCCTGCTAGTGTGATTAAGTTTGTAACACTTGCACAGCTGCCAGCTTATAAAGTATAAAATAAAAAGTAAAGTCTTTGTTTGGGGCTGCTTCTCCCTCCTTGCATAGAGTGGTGACAGCCCCTGTGCAGGTAAAAATAAACTAATTTGGCTGATTGGATTCTGGTGTCCAAGAATGGTGTCCACACACACACATAGCCTATTGGTTCTGGTTCTCTGGAGAACCCTGACTAACACAGGCTGGGAAGCCAACCCTTGTCTACCTCCTACTCCTACATTTCTCCATCCTCCCCTCTGGATGAGAGTAGAAAACCGCAAAGGATAAAATGTGTTGAAATTTAATTAAAGACCCAGTGAATCCCAAGTCTGAGAGCAGCAAATCCAAACGTTGAGCCTGCAGCAAAGATTCAACAGACCCCTCTGCAGCTGCAGGCCCTTCCTCTGTGCTACCTTAGCACCTCACATACAACACACACACACACACACACACACACACACACACTCTTCCTGGTGAAATACCTCAATGAAAATATGGTGCTGATTACAGGAATGCTGCTCAAAGTATATAAAAATTAATATATTTGAATAAATAAATTTCACTAGCTCTCAAGTAAAAAAGACATTATTTTTTCCACATTCCTTACTTCTGTGGGCCTTCTGTCCTCTGCTACCTAGGCAGAGTTTTTATTACTGAGAGGAAGAGGTGTCAAATAATTATTCAAAGTGACAATAATATTCTTCTATTGTTAGTATTTGAAGTTCAATGTTAGTAATGAATCTCTGAAATTAAGAATGTACTGTTAAGAGTTGTTTAAGGTACTATTAAACATGACCCTTTTCTGAATACTATTGAGTTAAAATCTTGATTGTCAGTTCTACCTGCCCGTGGAGCCCCATAGTATGTGGAAAGGGTGATCCTAGGGAGAGTCCTGGTCTGCCCAGCTGACTATAGGCAGGGAATACATCTCTCTGTTCTTATAACTGCCAAGCCCAAGGAATCCATGCCCTGCCTGAAGCTGGAGACTCCTTCTCTGAAACAAACCAAGGGTAAGGAAACAGGCTTCTGACAATATACAGTCTGGTCTTGCCTAAGAGTAGTCTTTTTGCGGCATGAAGAGAAATCCCCAGGAAGTGGTAAAGTGTCTGCATAGATCTGAAACCAGCTCTCCAGTCTTGGTCGCTGCCCTTATCACACATGGCCACAGGGGGTTGTCTTCCCCTGGGAGGTTTTCAGAAGCCCACTCACAACCTGGATCCTGCTTTTTCTTTCCTCTTAGCTACACCTACTATTATGTCATATGCAATGGAAATTCAAGAAAAGCTCTTCTGCAGATGTTTTTGCACGACTTAGAAATGTTATGTCACTTCTGCTTTCTACTTGTGTTTTGCTCTTTAGGGAAACCGTGAAGCCTGAATGACAACACAATAGAAAGCAGCTCTGTGAATGGACAGGAAGGTGAAGGAAGTGAATGACTGTGTCCTATGGGAGTCTCTTGAGAGGAAGGAAAGTCAGGTGCTATGGGAGTGTGTCCTGGGATGCTGGGAGTGAGGGTGGCAATGTGTCAGGTGCTAGCGTCAGTAAATAAACATCACGTGTCTTGTGTATTTCAACAACCTAGATGCTTATTCCTCTGTCTCAGGTATTTATACAAGCCACCATTTTCTGATAGAATATAAATAGGACACATCTTTGAAATGAAGAGTGACAATTTTTGAGCCTCTCTAAAATTCGTGACAGAATATGGTTTTTTAGGCTGCCTCCTTTGGAAACCAGTTACTGAAGGGTAGGACAAGGTTCCTAAGAATTTTATAAACAGCAAATAAGATTCTCATCTATAACTATTAATATATGAAGAAGAATAGGAAAATATCTACCATATTTTACCTCCTTCGTTAATGGAGGCTACTGTGTTAAGTGCTTTGAAATGCATGTGTTCATTTAAGATTTACAACAAGTATATAAATATGTCAAACCCATTTTATTTATGGGAATGCTGAGGCTTGGAGAGATTAAATGGTTTTCTGAATATCACACATACATGCAAGCAGAATGCAATTTTAGTGTAAAACTCTTTATTGCTATTTACATCTGACGTTATATGTTTGGTATTCTGAATTTCCAAAATAATTGTTAAATCTCTTTTTATTTGTGTATTACATACTGCTCCTTCTTGCTGTCTGGATATCCTTGGTTCGTGTTGTAGTTTCAGGTTGTTTTGATCAATTTTTTTCTTTACGTTAATATTGAGAAAGAGATTCTCTGATTTAGTTTCCCAGTTTTATTGTATGAGGCAAGTTCGTCAGTTTTACTGATTTTAAACTAGTATTAAAATAATGATAAATTATAAATGTAAATAATATAATAGGTATGACTTTAAATAAGATATTAAACATAATAATATCATTTGCCAATATATTAAAGCCATAAAATCTACCCAAAGACATACATATTTTGAAAAGGAAAAAATATGCAAATAAGAAAATAATCCATATTCTTTTCCAGGTTCAACTCTGTTTATCCCCTCCAGTTCAAAGGCAAACCTCTCACAACTGTTTTCTGTATACCTCAGTACTCATTTCTCTTCTCTCAATCTCTTTTCTACCTACTCCCATATGGTTTCCTCTGATTAATTCCTCCAAATCACCTCTCACTGAGATCGTTGTGCCATCTATTTTCCTGATGTAGTGGGCAGTTCCAATCCACGTTTTCCATAAGTTCATTGATTCTTCTTCTAAGCACATTTATTTTCCTAAATACACTTTCATCAACATTCTCCCTCTTCCCTCTAATGTAAGGTATTGCACCTCTATTTCCAGAGTGGCTCTTCCGTCCTCTCTCTTTAAAGGAGGAAGTTCCTCTGAAACAAGTTTAAGTTCTTTTCTTCCTGTACTGTCTCTCCCTACATGACAACCTCTATTTTTCCACTTTCACTTGCCAGTCACGAAGCTCCAGTTCTTATATTTCTTAAAAATTGCAAAGCCATGTACACAACTGGCAATGGATATTTGCATTTAGATATTTACCAATAAGTTAATAGAGAATATATCTGCATTTTTTTATTTCCTAACATGCCTCAGTCAATATTCTTTTGAGAGAATTTCATGAGTGTTTTTCCTTCTTCTCATTCTAGTATTTAACATGATTGATGTTATTTTAGTATGATTATTGCTTTTGGGTTTTCTCCCCTATAAAAATCAAAGATATAAGACATCAGGAACTATATTTGTTATGTTCACCTCTATATCCTGAAAACGACAGACAACATGGCTTAGATTAAATTAATTTTTACTTGCGTCTTCAATATAACAGTGATGGTTTCTTTAATCTGGTTGCACAGTCAAGCTTGGAGTCTTATTGTAAAGAATAAACTAACACAAGAATTTTCCACAGTAAAAATTTAATGAAGAAAGCAAAATAATAAAATTACTAAATAGAAAGAACATTTTATATTAATCACAGTTTAAAGGTTCACATAATATCATATGAACAAAAATAATATAAATCTTAGAAATGGTTAAATAAATATTTAAATAGATAATAAATAGATACATCATCATGGTCTCCTATAAGCGGCTAGTGCCTATAGAGTTTAAGACAATATTGCTTAATACTCCTGAAAATAGTTAAAAAGTTTGTTTCAACTCATGTTATGGTAATAGCAGAAATGAGAGTCTTTGAATTGTTAGAACTCATGAAAGTGTGAGATGATGTTTTAATCAATGAGAATCGTTTCCATGTTGGACCAGTCTCATTCCACTCTCCTTAATCTTTCTTGCAAGGTTGTTGATGAAGAGATGGATTTCATGATTTCTGCCCTGACAACCTCCCAGGCACAAGGGCTGTACTTCTTCTCTTTCAGGTACAGAGTGATTCTTTGGAAGTATTTCCTCACAGCCAGGATGGAGTCCTCATTCATCAGGGCAGTCTCCTCCACTCCCACGTCCTGCAGCAGACAGGCTTCCAGCTCATCCAGCTGCTGGTAAAGTCCAGTGCAGAGTTTGTCCAGGAGGGTCTGATCCCAGGCATCAGATGAGTGGTTCGTGCTGAAGAGGTTGAAGATCTGCTGGATCATCTCATGGAGGACAGAGATGGCTTGAGCCTTCTGCAACTGGTTGCCATCAAACTCCTCCTGGGGGAATCCAAAGTCATTTCTGTCCTTCAGGCAGGAGAGAGGAGAGATTCTCCTCATTTGTGCCAGGAGTCTCAGGGCCTTGCTGTTACCCAGGCCATGGGTTTGAGGCAGCTCACAGCCCAGAGAGCAGAGGGACATGCAGCTGAGCCCCACCAGGGCCATCAGTACAGAAAAGGACGAGGCCATTGGGATGTTGCAGGTGCTGCTGGGGTGTCTGAGGTGGGTGACCCTGAGCCTTGGTCTCTAGGTTCTCTGAAGACCTTGCTGTGCGCATAGGCCTTAAATAGGGAACATCCTAGTTTCCATTTTCTTTATGTCCCCACATTACTTTCTACTTCTGTTTTTGCTTTCTTTATGCACTTTCTACATGGGTTAATACAGTTACTCTACCATATTTTTTTCCATTATTTTCTCCCCCACCCCTTGAACACTCAGCATTTTTAGATTATTTTTCATTGAACCCCCATAAAAATTTAATACTGCAGATAAACTATGTATGTATTTATGTATTCCATATATATATCTAATTTTTATATAATAAAGTATAAAGTTGAATCTTTTTATTTAATGCAGGGTTAAATATGTCCAAGTGAAAATTTTAAGCTAAAAGTCTAAAATTAAATTTAAAATTTATTCATCTTTAACTTAACATCCTAACTAAATTTGCTTAGTGACTTTAAAGGAATTTATTTACTTATATATTCAGTAGTGTACCAAATTACATAAGCAAATTAGCAAATTATAAAAACATATAATAATACTTAATGAAATGAAATACTTAAAAATTATTCAAAACTGCTAAAATTTAAATTATTTCTTCAACATTTACTTTTAGTGTACTTAACTTTTAATTTTATTTCATATGAGAAATTTTTTTAACTTCATTAGCTGCTAGATACTTATCAGTCATTGTCATGATTTTTTTCCCTTCATTGCTTGACATAATTATTGATGTGTTTAACAGATTTAGAAGAATTAAATCAATTATAAAATATTTGTATTTAAATCTCAAAACCCACAGCACAGGTAGAAGTGCAGTCAAACAAAACAACATCCACAAGGTAGCCAAAGACAGCATATATGTATGCAGAGGCCACCTCTCGTGACATGACTTTGAGATCTAATAAATTTCAGAAAGTCCTCCAATCAGTCTTCCATTCACCATAGGTTTGCAGTACTGATCTTAGATATATATTTTGTATATTCTATGAACCCAATGTCAGTACTTCATATGTGATATACAAAGAACTCAATGAAAAAAATATATAATAAGGTTTTCACTGGTAGGGTTGAGCTTTGGAAGGTCACAAAACATTATAACATTTAAGATTTGTTTCCACCTCCAGGAACTAACTTCTACAACTTTGGGAACAATATCATACCCTGTGAGAATACACACTTGAGAAAACATCATCACTTTGATTTAAAAAAATTTGTTTTGCATGTAAGTTCAAATTTCAACAAAAATCCTACAGAGCTTCTAATCCTAGTGGATTCTAACCCAACTAACAGAATCTATATTTGTCCTAAATATCCTAAATGGGTTGTAAATATCATAAAGTGAATGGGCTGTACAATTGTTTTGTATAGCATGCAAGCCACCAGATGTCTTTCCTATTTCCATTTTCATAGAAAGCAAAAGTTGTCACCTTTTTCATAGTAACAAATGGGGACAAACATAAAGCAAGTGTGTGTTTAAATGTGATAAAAATGTCAAAAGGAAGCAAGATCCAATCAAGAAAAAACAATGAGAAAATGTAACTTGGCTACATTGAGCCCAGCCAATATGGATTAAGGAAGGGATGAGGAGGAAGAGAAGCAAAGTGGTGGGAGGGCTGTAGCTCAAGGTGGGCATGGGCTCAGGGAAAAGTAGTCATTCCTGGTCTAGGGGCTATTCTCAGCTTTGCTGAATCCAACCTTCACAGAGAGTCAAAGGAGACACACCAACCACAAGCTGTATATAAAAGATAGCTGAATTTTTAAGAGTATAACATTTTCTCTGAATAATAGGTATTAATCGCACCATGTTCTTACCTAGTGAATAAATAAACTCAGAAGATTAATACTTTTCTTGTTATGTCTCAAACAAAAAGCAAGGTATTGATAATTTCAAAAGATACTTCCTCCAACTTAATAGAGTTAAATAATAATGTTAATAAAAGGAATGAAATGGCAGGTCCGAAGGTAGTGAGTTATGTCACGTGATTGTTCACAGTCAGTTACAGATTGAACTCCTTGTTCTACTACTTTCCCCCTCCTCACTACTGCACTTGACTAGTCTTAAAAAAAAAATAAGGAATGAAATGGCTAAATTTTAGAAGGTGCTTGTTTTTAGCCAGAGATTGTTCTTAGCACTTACAAAATTGATGCTCACTTTACCAATAAGGAATACTATTATTTTTTGTGTTTATTGAACAGTTATTATGTGCGTGTCCCTATTCATTCACTGGAGAGAACAGTGACCAAACCAGATAATGATAAGTACTACGAAAGAGAAAAAAGTGAGCACAAGGAGGTAATGAATTGTGGAGCCATTGCTAGAACCCAGAAAATCCAACTCTGAATCCTCAGCTCTTATATGAATCCCACTATGATACCACTACACCAGAATGTCTAACTAGAATGACTAAAATTTCAAAGACCAAGAGCATACCAAGTGTCGAAGTGGATGTGGAGTGACCGGAACTATTACCTGCTGGCAGGGACCTAAATGGGGCAGCCACTTGGGAAAATTCTTTGGTAGTTTCTTAAATACACTCCTACTGTGAGACACAGACATTTCACTCAAGTTTTAACTGAGAAATATATCCACACAAAGACTTGTAGTCAATTATATATCAAACAAAAGCTAGAAAAAAGAACAGAGAATACACTTCAGTTGTGTAGTGCTTTTGCTCAAACAGGAATGCATTCCTTCCCCATGTGTGACTGGAAAAATTCCTACTCACCTTTTATGAAAGCCCATGCCCTTGACAAGTTCTTCCTCCTCCGATACGAGCCCCTGGAGCCTGTTCCGCAACTGTTTTGTCCCACCAATTAACCTACATTCGAATTAATAATGTTTGTGTGTTGTCCCATCCCAAGAGGCTGAGAGCACCTTCAAGTCAAGGAACATCACCAAGCAGACATCAGCAATTGATTTTGATGGCTGTCACCGTGTTCTCACAGTCACAGTGTTAAAGTTGCCAAATTAAAATACATCAGAGACCCTCAGCTCTCCTTGCATTAAATCTGCCTACTGGAAGATTCTGCAGGGGAAAAAAAATGACCGACATGGACAAATACATTGCTATGAATTAACTTACCTCATTACCTGACAATTAGGCATGAACCCCTAAAACACATGCCTTTCTGTGGCTAAAGAATGTAAAGACACCAGCTGACAAATCAAGGAAAATGAATTTCAGGCCACAAACCCCGAGTCAGGGTAGGCTGTGTCTGTCTATACAGATACATAGTACCGAAACTCCTTGGAGAAGCTATGGATAAGTTCTCTCCTCCCCACTCTCAGGAGCACTCTGGGGCCATTCCACAGCCCTGCGATGCTGACCTGGGACTCTCATGGACCATGTTTTCTCTGCGCCCAGTTACTGAGGCAGCAGCACACTCCAGATCATGGAGAACTTTGGCATTTTATTGAGCCAGGGCTTTGGTTCCATCTTTTAGTTTTGTGTACAGTTAGGATCTTCTTATTTTCATGTAAATACACTCAGAGGAATCTGTATTTATCAATACAGAAAAACAACCAGAAAAATCCATCTGGTAAGGGAACCACAGTTCCAGCCCACGAAGAGATTGAGTCTTATTTTTTTATATTTTTTTTCTTCCTGCTTTTCTAAATTAACTATTGGAACAGAAAGGCCTTCAACTTTTGCTCATCAGCCACCTTCCCTTCTCAAGAGTCTCTGTGCCAAGCCTCCCCTGTGTGTCAGGGCTGATATGGAGAGCAGTGCTGAGCCTTTGAAGGGCTCCAATCAGACACTACTGGACATGTCCTCAGGAGTAGAGACCTATCCAGTGGAGCATACAGTTTCTCCAAAGTCTGAGAGGCTGTGTTTCTCTTCAGCAGAAGACTTGCACGTGAAATATTTTAAAAGAACCAAGTGCAGAATTCTAATCTTTTTTTCCTTTTTTTGAGACAGAGTCTCACTTTGTTGCCCAGGCTAGAGTGAATACTGTGGCATCAGCCTAGCTCACAGCAACCTCAATCTCCTAGGCTCAAGTGATCCTACTGCCTCAGCCTCCCGAGTAGCTGGGACTACAGGCATGGGCCACCATGCTCGGCTAATTTTTTGTGTACATATTTTTAGCTGGTCAATTAATTTCTTTCTATTTTTAGTAGAGATGGGGTCTCGCTCTGGCTGGTTTTGAACTCCTGACCTAGAGCAATCCGCCCGCCTTGGCCTCCCAGAGTGCTAGGATTACAGGCGTGAGCCACCGCTCCTGGCCAGAATTCTATTCTTTATTTCAGTTTTTCAGTGAAGAATTAATAGAAATATTTTATTTGAAACTGAATAACATGGAAAGAGTACAGAACTCAAAAATCAATGTAGAAAATCACAGTATTCACTAATAATGAGTGTCTAATTCTTTCTTAGAAAGAGAGGAGTGAAATTGTTTTACCACAACTGTTCCTGTGTCTCATAATGCTCACTGAGGTGAGAAGAAAAAACAAACCGGAAGCTTTGAAGGGTGCTGTTCTGCTGTTTAATGCCTGGCTCTCCCTGGTGGATTAACCTTGATATCTCTTTTCATTAAGGTCTCAGGACTTCAGTCATGAAAAAGATCACATCCTAGAACCAGTCTTTCTCAGAAAATAATGACCTTGGTGGGGAGGTCTTTATTTTCTGAGAAAAAGTTGTTGACTCAAGTAACTTGGAAAAAGTGTAGAAATTATAGGACTAAAGGCAAAAACATCTGTTCATAAGGCCAGTTGATAAAGTTGTTCCTCACAAGTATATGAGTTAACAATTCTAATATTGCTATGTATGTATCCTAGGGTTTAAATATTAAGTAAAATGATGTCAAGTGGTGACAGCCAGTTTTCTCACTGATGGAGTGACAGGTTACTGGTAAGGGAATGAGGGTGGAATGTTTCATGTGACAATGGATTAGAATTATAAATATCAATCAGTATAAACTCATATTTACCTTAGTATAGATACACATCATCGTATATAAAAATATGTACAAATATGCTTGTTCATTAAAGGTTGGTTTTAACACATATATTCCATTGCTCTGTCACTTGAGAAGGCCTAAAAGCAATGGCACCTCAGTAGGAACAAACCCATGTTGTTGGGTGCTA